CGAGTGAGAACTCACTGGGATTGGCAAGGTCGTCTGTTGTGTGGCATCTCCCGAAACACTGCTTGCGTTGTCGATGTGATATCGCTACAACCCGATTCAAAAGCACCCTGCTTCCGAATTGAGGAAATTGACTTGACCAAGACACACTACACGCTTGGATGACCAAAAAACATCAACAACCTTACGAGGCATCATCGGCTAAGTTATCCTTGTACACTGACCAAGTAACGTCCCTCCTTGATACCACTTAATAGTCAGTCAAGCAAACGCCCTGCCAAAAATACCCAATGCGATTCATGACACAACCAGCTAGAGATGGTCAAGTTTGTGACGTCTCACACTCCCAGATTAAGCCCATACAACCAACACAAGTCAAGAAGTTCAATAAAATGCTACCCAACACTCCCATGGGCAAAACACGATTAACAGTGCAGTAGAGAGGAGAATACAGGTTCTGTGACACAAAACAACACGATGAATGGAGGGGTGTCAATGAAGATGCGGGTAGGATTGCGCTAACAAATATGCAGAACATCAGACAGCATGCACAAACACACACGCGCGCACGCGCACACACACTCTAGAACACCAGGGAACGTGAGGTTGAACTGCGGTGATGACAACGATGCGGAGGGCCACCTAGTAAGTTGCGGCGAACTCCTGGCCCCTCTTGATGTTCTTCTGCAAATCTGGCAACGCCTTCTTCAGCAAGTCAATCTCGTACTCGTTGAGTTTGCCGATTCCGTACACCTTCTCAACACCGTTTGGCTACAATCGAAACATAACAGCGAGTGACGTTCACCTTGCTGTTGTGACGAGCTAAGAGATAAGAATTGACAGATAACGATCAGTGCAATGGGATTCAAAAAATCAACCTAACAATGTCCTCTAGTTCACAACATCTGCAACCATGACGTAATTATGCCACGCCAGATCGAACACAAACTCTGGTCTGTTTGATTACATACTAATTTCTGGGCTAGTCACAATCGAGCACCCATACAAGGCAACGAAACTCACCCCTAGGAAAACAAGGCGAGCAAAGAATTCGGTATCGGCCACATCGCACTCAACGGAGGTGCAACAATACATTTTGGAGTTTTCGAAAATATCCAAATAAAAGCGAAAAATGTACGATGGCCTCAGGAAATAAAAGATCTTAGAGTCAATGAAACTTTTAAGCTATTATTGTTATTTGAAATCTATTTTTTGAAAGGTGTAAGAACAATTTTTTTAAATTTAAGTAAGCAATTAGAATAGTTCGAAAATAAATACTTGAGACTAATCATGCAGTAAAATCTGAAGTTTAACGAATTCTTAAAAGCTAATAAGAACATATTTCGGCACTAAAGTCACATGCTGTGTTGACAAATAAATTAAGCTCCTGAAAAGGTATAGTAAAAGTTGATTTAACCCTCTAAATTTTGTGCCCTTGCACCTGTATTTGTGGGTCAGCCTTAAATTTGATTGGAAGTCACAGAATTGGTCTTTGTGTTGTTTACACATTTTATGCTAATTTAGCCTGCATCGTTAATGAATTTCGGTGTTCCCACATACTGATGTCTTCGTCACAAGCTAAGTTATTTGTGGCTGCTAAGATGCAGTCATATGGCGATGTCGACGAATTATCCATCATAGCTCTTTTACCTCGCATTTACTTCACTGTCGAAAATGTGGACGACTTCTTAATTAAAAGTCTGAAAAACCCGTCTTATCTGCTCCTAGCCTCAGAGGTGCTAGAAATCCTAGATGAATTAGCTTGTGTTAATCTTAGAAATCGTTGGGATGAAAGTCTTGCTGACCTCAAAAGCAGGTATATTCCTACATTTATATTAAACATTCAGATCAACCATGGAGTTACCATCAAGCCCTTGTGTATATACATACAATGATTTTGAGGCACAGATTTCCGCTGAAGTAAAGATTACGTTGGTTATGCAGCAGCTCCAACATATTCTATATGAGGTTAGCGCATTTGACCTAAGCATATCTGAGTTAAGGAACCAACAGATCACTGTGTACTTTACCAATGTTGTTCCATCTTGGAGTCTCCTGCAATATTAACTGTTATTTCAGCTCTCGTGTCCGCCGTTGTGAATGGTCAGTTGTATACTGAGTTGTTTAGTGATTATTTTCATATTCCTTACGACGTTTTTTATTTGCAGGCTTACATAACATCGAAATGTTACCAGATATTGTGGCCGGTCTGGCAACTCATTCTGCTTTTATGTCACGCCCTTTGATTGAACGCTTAATCATCAATTTTCCTGAAAGATGGCCATTCATCTGGGAACGACTTCTGGAGCGCAGTATACTCCACCCTAATAGTGCTCCGGGTCAGATTCGAAGTGCCTCTCGTTGTCTGGCTGTTTTGCAACACGTTGTGGAATTTGTGCCTGAAGTAGACACAATCAGCAATCGATGTGTAAGTTTTTGACCTTATTTCCAGTAATTGTGCTTATATCCTGTGGTAGTTGTTAGTCACGCTTTGCTACCGCTGCAAACTTCGGGTATCTAGTGCTCCATCACCTTTAGGCTTTTATGTGTTGTTTTTTAAGAGGGTTGTTTTCCGTTCCTCCTAGATTCAACTTCGTCAGTTACCTAATTTGGTCTCGTTTTTGGCCATAAAACGGGCACGTTGCAATCCTGAATTCTCCTTGCTCAGGTTTTTCAAACGAATACTGATTGACGAAGGGCATGAAACCCGATCTTGGTTCGCCGGCTACCTAAAATTTGCCTGGGTTGGTTTATTTTAGATTATTGTGATAATTGTCCCGTCCCTTCTTAGGAGCAAAACCCATCATTGGCTGCTGATGTGAATAGCATGCTCCTAACTGCCGGTTTGGCTATCTCAGATGACCCCAAGGCAATGCTTCCTGACGAAAAACTGGTTTCTGCATTAGAATTTATGCGTACGATCGCAGCACTTCGGAGTTATACAGCATTCATGTATGTTTCGTTTACTGCTTTGTCTCAAAATTAACAATGAGCCTCAACTTTCCATTGTTTCATTCAAGGCTTTCGCCACAGTTGCGTACATTTGTCCTAAATCTCATCATTCGTCCGACTGGGAGGAGCGACAGAGCTGTGAACTTCATATGCTTCTGCCTAGCCTTCATCATCGGACTACGGTCCTGTTTGATTGAGTAAGTTTTACCCCCAGAAAATGCGTGATTTTCTGGCCAACAACTTCCGCCCATTTAATTGTGCCCACCTCTAGCCACACAGTATCAGGCAATGAGGCCGTTAACTCGGAAACGGAGGACCAATTGGTCGTTTGGTTGCGCCGCCTTATCTCTCGACAGGAGGTTTTGCATACATCGCTGCGCCAATCGCCTTCCTACTCTGAACTTCTGCTCTTGCTTGCGTTGCTTTTCAACAATAACCGGCAGAGCGCTATTCGTGACATCGTCGCTAGTGTGCTTTGCATTGACGCCCCGTGCCTCATGCGCAACATCTCGGCGTCACGCAAACTCTTCATCCAGAAAGTCTTCACGTATCAGGTATTGCTGCTTGCCTATTCCAGTGGCAGCATTTTATTGGTGTGTGCGGAAAGTTAATTTCCATGGCGCACATTTTAGTCAATTGCTACGCACGCTGCCCACGTTCCCGTCACAGTTGGACTCAGTGCTCAATTAACAGGAAATCTGCCCATTCATTGTGTTTATCAACTACTGAAGACGCACGCATTTAGCAAAAACCGGGTTCAAATTAAGGTAAGTTCATGTTAGCATATTTTCAGTCTGTTCTCAAAGAGCAAACACACCTCTAAACTGTCATCTTGATTTCCTGTCATCTTGGCGCTTGCATTTTTAAGATATTTTAAGCCAAATTAGCGCATTCTTGGCCGAATACTTAATCATTTCACTATACTACCGAATTTGTACAGATTTTGTCTTTGGATTTAAAAACATTTCCGCGGTCTTTTGTGGTTTTAAATGGATTGGACGCAGGGTTTCAGAACACCGAACGACAAGTCTATGTAGGTTACATAACCTCTAAGACAAGCAGAGAACGGACTTCTTGTGGACAATTGTGACGCTTAATGAAAAGCATATTTGTAAGAGATTCCCAAACGTAAAACGTCGTGGGTGGATTCTGGATAACCCAGTAAATCGATGCCGAAACAGGACATCCATCCACTCAAGGAAGGTTCTCCTGTGTATCTGGTGGGGGGACATGGAGGGTGTCCTGGACGGTGACTGCGGACACCTGAGAGACAAAGGATACATACGCGAAGGTGGAATGATGCGAGGGTAAATTGGGTGGTGATGGAACCCCATTGGTGCTAGGTCGTAATAGAGATGATTGTTGATAGTTGACTGCGCCTTACGCAAATTTTTTTGCATCTGTCTCCAGGGCTGGATTTACCAACAAATTTGCGAAAGCGTACGTCCCCTACACCCCCTCCTTCCAGATGTCATTGAAACGTACACGAGCAACGCCCTCACCCTTGTCTCCAGTCCCGGGAGCACCTTTGTTACCCCCAGCGGTGGTTGCATGCCCTTCACAGAACAGGAGCTGCGCGCCCAGTTCACCAGCCAATCAGCTGGTCGCGTCGCCTGCGCGTGTGCTCCAGCCGCGAGCGGTTGTGTCGGCGACAAGGCCAACGGTGACGACCTTGAACGCGATCTGACGCCGCAACTCCTCTTCTTCTACTACATGCTCTACATCTACGACCAGGAACTGAATGCCCGGGCTGCGGATAACCGCGGACACCAGCGTAAGTTGGCTACTCCACTAACCGCACTGTCGCGTATCCCGGGCTTTCAAAAACCCACCTTCGCCGTGGTTTGTTTTTTTTGTCGCTAAAGTTAGTCAGAGCACGTCCACAGTTCCCTCCACCCCCTAGGAGCGTTGCGGATATCCTTTTTTTGTCAACATCGCCTGTCTTTTACGTTTATTGCAGGCAACCACGCCAGACAGTCGTTGTCGCTGTTTTCGGACCAGCTTTGGGATGCTGTCCCAGCCACTTATTTGCTGCAATACGCGCGCTCCAACCTCGGAGCTTATCGCAAGTTCTATCCTCGACTGCTGCAGTAAGCCTTTTTTTACCTACCCATTTATCTCGTCTGCCTCTTGAGATACATCCGCCTGTCGTAATCGAATAGTACTTCAAAATGAAACGGTTTGTCAGTGCTTCTAGTTGGAAGTCCTTCTGAAGTCGGGGTAAAACCTGTTCTAGTCGAAGGAGGGCCGATTTTTCGAGTCGTCTGTTAAGTGAAACCTATGTGTGTGTATGTCTCCGCTCTTGGCGTCTGCCAAAGTAGCTTCTGTTCGGTTATACTTTTATTTGAGTAAGCAGTGCTGTGGCATGGAGATAGTTTAGACAATTCCTGGCAAACACTCTGGAATTTGAGAAGAACAAAGGACAGTCTGGAAAGCCCTACAATGTATACGTGTTATCCAAGACAGCAAATATTACGACAATAAATAGAGTTAACAGTAGAAGTATGCAACAAGTGTCTACGCTCTCCGCTATTCGCCGGTTCAAATAATGCTCCAACAACAAAACAAAAGGAAATAACACGGCAAGTGTTCCACGTAGCTTCCTCAACTGTCGAATGCACTGGTTACGTTGGATCTACTGTCGTTTACTTACAGATTAGTCACAAACCACATGCCTCACTTGACGATCGGCGAGACGATCATCCAGGATGAACTGCTTCTCGATCCGTTTTGGCAATCTGCCTACAACTCGAGGTCAGCGGACAGCCTCTGCCTCGCGAGGAGTCGTGTCACCCGATCCCAGATCCCCTCGCCAGACGAACTGCTTTCCAGTAAGTCGCAGTGCCACACTCTGGGCCAACCTCCCGTCGTACAACTTGGTTCTTCTTGTGGGGTCTCAGTAGACGATACGCTTGCGTCGGGTAAACTGGTCATTTACAATGAAACAACCAGACTGCTCAGCGTTTTCCCCCCGTCAAATGGGGTATTCTTGTTGTGCACTGAAGTCGCGTCGATTTCATCCTCTGGTGTAGATGTTCAGGTAGTAGAATTTGGCATCGGTTTTGGCTAATGTGCTGCGTTCTGCTTACCCACACCGTCTTGTGCCTGACTTGGTTGAATGCACCAAAACATCTGGTGCCGGGGGAGGGAATTGCACAAAAGTCTTCATTGGTTATTTTATTGTGTTTCAGGCGCCTGACAATAAAAATGAATCTTATTAACGATATTTATTTACAGTAGAGCAGAGTCCGTAACTTGGTATTTCATTCCGCTATGCGGAACGCCGTAGTTACTGCTGAAGTGAGCGCGAATGCCGCGTCAAACGTGCTTATCCGAATAGCGCTTCGTCGAATGAACTGTTCACTGCGGTTCTGTTTACAATTATGCCTGTTTTAATTCACATTGAATATGCACCGAGCGTCAGACGCCATTTACGTCGTCTGGACTCCACTTCGCCAGCATTATCGGAGAAAGCTGGTTTCCCAGCAGTAGTTTGAACACATTGGATGCGCGAAATGCAGACGCGACAAGTATGGTGTCATTAAATCATGTAAATGTGCGCTACAGCGAAGTAGCCAGAATATGCCCGTGCACAGTTGCCTTTCCTCTCGCATTCAAATCTCTAAATGCACTCGTTTTGTGGTTAAAACGACCGGTCCCCCTACCAAGCTGTCCTTAATTACCGTGTTTTGCATACCCTTTATGGAAAGATCCAGCTGTCTCCTTGGGTTCTTTTGGACGTACGTGAGCCCCAAACTCCAATGTCTACTCGTCACGTTTTATGCTTGTATCGCCTGATGTTAGTGTGTGTGTGTGTGTGTGTGTGTGATTCGATGCAAAAAGGGAGCCAATGGTGAAGGCCGCATGTGGCTTCTAATTGGTCCTTCTTACCTACCTAGTCTTCGACCGGATTCTCGATCCAAGTGGTGTTGATGACTCCGCGATCCCCATACGCGAGTGCATCCTCGGAGTGAACGCTCTGGGAGCCTCCGTGGTTGGGCAGACGGGCTTCTCTCGCTTGCAACGTCTCCTCCCCTACGTGGAGCCAATCGCTTGCCGCCTTCCCCGGGTCCTGCTGGAGAGCGCTGTGTTGTCGGGCAACCGACGCTTCTCCGCCGTGTGCTGTTCCCTCTGGCGCAGTCTTCACTCATTCATGCCTCAGAGGTGAGGCTAGGGGTCTTTGTAGACAACACGACGAGAGTCAGCTAGTCGTTTGCTCATTGGCCATTACCGAAAACCCTCGTTTCAGGATTTGCCACAAAACAAGTGTTCTCGTAGTGCCAAGAGATGCGGATGTCCCCCGTCACTAGTGTTTTGCCCCACTCCAGGCTGTCAGCAGTCCTCCACCGCATTCGCTTCAACTAAGTCATCTTGAATCTTTTCTATGTTCTGCTGTCTAGACTTGAAGTTCTGACTATCAAGGCCTTGTCGCAGAGGAAGGAAGGTGGGGTTGCAAAGGCGCACCGGACACCGCTAACTCACCGCGATCTCTTCATGGATCCCGTGGAGAATGTTGTCATGGCAGTGGACCCAATGGTTTACAGGTCAGTTTGGTGCATTCGCCGTGAGTTTGCTTCATTGTATTTCGGCTTGAATGTGTCGTTCTTCAAGCACTCTAACTCCCAATTTGTTACTCTTCGAATGAAGCAAAGACATTTGAACTTACGGCCCCATGTAGAATTCATATATGACATTAAACATCCATCATTGAAAAGCAAAATGTGCCGTGCTTTTTTGGTATTCTACTGGCTTCCGGTTGTGATTGGTAGGTTACTTTCTGAGAAAATTGGTTTACTTCAAGCAAACACAAACCTTTAATGATCGGTTATGTCCCTGCTCTTGTCTATTACCTGCCACACTCTGGAGCCGCTGGTATTTCAAACCAGAGGTGTGAAAAGTGGTATTGACTTTCGCCTCCTAACCAAATCCCGAAAGCGGTGCAGGAACCAGACTTCATGATGCGGTGAAGAGTTGATTGGTACTTGCGTATTTCTCATTGTTTTGAAGTACCTGTGCTCATGGAAAGCGCACCTACTACGAATATTGTAATTTCCCACTAAACAATGACATTGTTGGCCCGGTGTGATTCGCCTGAGCATTCACCGACAGACTCGCATTCTATCAAACTGTTGCGGATTGAACTCCCTAAAGCTCTGGTAGACGCAAATGACATTTCGACAGACGTGATGGCATTTCCTATAAAGAGTAAGCAAAAACCTCGCATCAATGTCTTACCCTTGCGTGTCGTAATTCGAAGGTGTCCCCCGGTACTCCACATTCTGATTCGCATCCTCGAGTGTAACCTGCTTGCCTCTCGATCCTTCTGGCTGCACCGCGTGGCCGATCGCTTCTTCCTCGCCTCCTCCACCCCCGCCACCTCCGAGCGCCAGCAAGGCTCCACCGGGGGTGGCCCGCCCCCTCTGATCCCCATCACCGGGGAGACAGAGCCTCTTGCTGCGAAGGCCTTCACGACAGGCAAGAAGGTCGGCGGCGGAGGTAGACTTAGCCTCGAACCTATTCCTGGCGCAGATGGGTCAGCCCCCAGACCGGACACCCCCGGCACCTCTACCACCCAGCCTGGTGGGGGTCCCTTGGCCTCGGACGAGGAGTGTGACCGTCTGAGAATGGCTCTTGTGACCAGCCAGGACGCTGCTGTCGTTCAACTTCTACTGGAGTTCTGTCTACCGAGTGCAGAAGAGAAGGTACGTGAACTTGAACGGCACTTCACGAAGGCAATCATTGATGGCAAATGTCTACCTTTGCCGGGCTTCAGTTGACAGCATACCGATTAAACTAGCATCATTTGCAGTACAAATTCACTTTGGGATAGATCTTTTCATTCAACGCCACATCCTTTGCTCTCAAATTTCAGCGTTTGAAGTCAGAAGTGTCGGAGTTGCACGAGGTCCGCAACATCATTTGCACCTTCATCCACTACCTGTTCATCGCCGACCCGAACTTGGCGAACGTCGTCTTCTGGCAGGTGAGTCAATGGCTGCAACTGGCGCGACCAGATGTGCCATTTGTTTGTCAAGCGGTGGATAGTAAAAGTTGGTGTTCTGACACGAAGCGCCAATCTGTGCCGACTTGCGGTTAACACTAATCCTCTAACAGGTGATGTCACGTGCTAGTGCAAATCAGACTGGCTCTGATATCACAAGGGTCCACAAGAAGATGCGTCTGTTGTGGGCCCCAGCATGTGGTCTTGAAGCAAGCCCGGGCCACTGAGTTGTATCTGTCTCGGTTACGCTTCCCTGCTACCCGCGGTGAAGAGGAAGATCGGAGAGGACGTGGACACAACGACACCGATCTTCCAGATCCACTTCAGTGGCCCCGGCGTGGTTCAAGACCACATGCTGGGGCCGATAACACGTCTTTATCCCTTGCTTATTGGGGTTTTAAATTCAGATCGGCAAGATCCGATCGCGGCTCATGGATGTGTGATTTGTGGTAGTGTAGGACAAACTCATTGTCGTCTGCGTAAAACATACATTCCGGAGTTAGCCAAACCATCTCAGTTTACTCAAGATCGAGTCAACATTTCATAACAGAACTTGTATGCTTCCACGTTTGTTGCCTTACAGACCTATCCGCGGCAGATTATTCCAGTTGCGGCTCGCGGTATTCCATCTCTTCATATCTGCATGGACAGCGTCATAGATGTTTTTCGGAAAAGCGGAGACCTGGAAGCCGCCGTACGTTCGTTTCACCGCAGCCCTTTTTCTAAAGTCGATCCTTAGTTCATCAGTTTCTTGATTGGATGTGCACCACATCTTGTATATCAGTCGAATAGGCGAAATTCTGTTAGCTCCCTGGTTGAATGCCACGGTGTTAAGCTTCTCGTGCGTACCAACCACACGCAAAAGCGTGGTGTTTGCATCAAGTTAGTCGGATTTGATCGCTTGTTCGAGGTCGTCAGAAGGGATGATGTTTGAAATGGTTTTCACGACACACTCGCGAGTCTCCGAAGAACTCACAAAGACACTGACGGATGCTCGCGCCAGCCTTGTCGCAAATTGGCCAGCCCCTTTTTTTCCTTTCTTGCAGGTGTTTTGTGTGGATTTCGTTTCACACCTCGCGATGCACTACAACATTGGACTGCTGCTCGACCGTGCCACCTACCTTGTCGAGGCAATGCATCACATTTTTACTAGTGAGTCCACTTGCAAGAACTTGCTTTCCAACACACAGCGACCAACGGCGTGTAGGTACCTTAGCCATGACGTTCCTCCCTTTCACTGATATCGATGTGGTAATTGGTGATTGAGCCAATCAACGCTGTCATTCGCGCCTTTGCTTTCCACAAGGTGTTCTTGGCTTGGAGGAGGTGCCTCAACTACTGCTCTCCTGTGGCCCGGCGTTCTGTCGGCTGGGCTGCGCCTTCCCCAGTCTGAGCCCACGACTGGCGAACATCCTCCTCACCTGCATGTCGATGCTGTCGGGCGCGGTGTTGTTGGCCGGCGGTGTTCATCAGCACGACAACCTCGTCAAGCACCTCGCACACCTTACACCCGACGTCACAGAGTACTCCAAAGGTGAGGCTGTTCGTAGGTTGCTTCAAAGTTGATTCCAAGTTGCACGTATTGATGAGTTAGGTCACAGAGCAGGCCCGTGTCGTGGTTTGGTCATTTTTGCTTCGACAAGTCATGGGCTAAACAAAGGCGATGTGGACGGTGCGCTCTTAAAGTTTCAAAGATCGAGGCTTACGTAATAACCGTTCGCACTTCCACAAAGGCTTTTGTCTTTAAAATTTCTCGCGTGATGTCGATGTGTCTAACATTGCCAAAATTTGAACATGTTCACTTCAATTATTGGATTTATTCGCGGAAATAATTCGTTGTCTAGAGCAACAAGAGCGGAAACGAGCATTATAATTTGTGCTTGTAGATACTTGTTCGTCTAGACGGTTCCCGAAAACCATTTTTTTGGCTAGGGTGCAGTTCTTAGGGGAATCGGTTTATGTTTCTTCGATTCTACACCGCAGTACAAAGATTTCTATGCGTGATGTTTTGAATTTGCTAGTCACTAGCGGAAGAGAGCAGGTTCAATCTGATTGGTTAATTCGAAGTTCATGCAAACCGTAAGCCGTTTCACCTTGGAACGGCACTACGCCAAAATGTTTAGCTTTTAGTTTTTCGCCACGTTGAAATGGCCGGTTTTAGAGGTACTCCAATGGCAAACGACGGTGTGCGAGAGGACCCACCCTCATCTTCCCTTACATGTTTGTTTCCCTTCCCCCTTAGCTGACCCCTGCAACCAGTTTCAAATCCCAGAGGATGAAGACGACTATACCTTGAAGCTAAAGAGCCTCTCAAGACCCGAGCAATACTACTTTGCTTGCACGAAAGCAATGGTCTGGTTCAACAGACTCGTTCACTTCACTTCAGCCCAGAGACGTCTGTATCTCCCACCGACCATCGAGGATACATCCTTGCTACTTGCTACGCCATCTCCCTCCCCTGTACAGAGTTCCGGTTGTCTGGAAAAATGAAAAAAAAATGTCCTGAAATGAAGACCTGGTTTCACCACGACATACACGGTCGTCCCACCCAGTTGCTTAGCCTGAAACCACGTTTACCGCAAACGGCTGCCGGTAAATACCCAAGCAAAACTAGTAAAATACTAAAGTATATCTAAGTTATTAACTATGAATAGCGGCTGGGAAATCGCGGAATGACATCACGAGATTTGCCGGGGGTTTCAGTGACTGGGATTCTTCACGACACGCACGGTTCCGTCGGCCTTCCCAAGGTACGCCTGATGAGCAGTGCCCAGGAAGAGGCCTGTTCCGACAACTCCTAGATTGAAAACAGAAACATGAGCGGAAACGAGAGCTACGAGGAGGCATTTTTGATTTCTACGCACATGAGTGGCAAGGTGAGAATCAGTTGGCATAAATGATCTTGATGGTTCATTCAGAAGGCGCACCGATTTAGCTAATCTTCCTTAATACGCTTAGGAAAATATCGATTAAGTAGGTTTTTGCATTGACTGAGCTATACAAAGGGAACGTAACTTGCACGGACAATAGGTAAATAGTTGGCGTCTGTGGCGGGCATAGGATATTTTAGTCATTAACAATTCCCATTACCCCTAGGCGTGTTTGGTCGAAAATGGATAATTATGGCCAAACTGTGAATTCGTAGCAAGATCTAACAGCCGATATAAAATGACACTAACCAGGGATCATGTGTAAATCGATGTCGACTTGATTCCAATCCAGTGACGGGCTAGGCACAAATTTCCAATCCAATATGAAATTTCCGTTGTCGGTCAAGAGAGGACCCTAAAAGGACAGTAATGACAAGTCCACCACGGAAATACAATTTTACCAGTTAAACGAAAGAACACACACTACAAAATAAACCGAGACAAGAAAGTTAGCATTGCGAACGAGAAAGGACTCCAGGTTTATTAAGTACAGTAGATTTAGCGACGTGAGCAGTGACTAAGACTAAATGTAAGATAGACTTAAGTCGAGTGTGAAGACCATGAAGATAGATGCTATGAGGACAAGTAGAATCATACCTCATAAACGCAGTACTATTGCGTAGGATAAAGTTTGATCGAAAATAATGATTGCAGGTAATTTCAGCAATTAAGTGAACCACAAATATATTTGCCCTACATCCGCGAGTTATAAAAAGATTTGGAAATGCATAGGCTCACCATTTTTGCGACCGCCATTCTCAAGTTCGCTTCACCACCGAACCGCCTCTCGATTTCCATCTTAACAGGAGTCACCGCCATCGGAATAACTTCAATTGGGAGACCCCTTTTCCAGTGCTCACCAAGGTAGTTTGAACTCTTGCTTTTACAAAATAAAAAATGACCTTAGAAAGGGTGACTAAAGAAGCGAGAGACCAGAAATGCACACTACGTTCAATAGTAGCATAAATCGGTATTCTTAGGGGGTTTCTAAAAGTACACGAACAAAAACTGAATACTAGTTTTACCACCCTACCTTTCATCAGCCACCACGATAAAGTACTTAGAATTCGCGTCGACGATTTTTTCCTGGATGAGGCAACCACCGCCACCTTTGATCGAAGCGAATTCAGGAGTTATCTCGTCAACTCCATCAAAAGCAACATCCAACTAGAAAACTAAATTAAACATTGTGCAACTATACCAAGGGGTAGTCATCCATTGAAGAAAGTGGTAGTCTGGCTTTCTTAATAAGTTGAAGAGCCTGCTCGTGTAAAAATATGGAACAAAAAACTAACCTGAAATGACGTTGGAATACATGTAATACTCAGTCCGGACTTTTTTACTAGTTCCACTAAAAAAATTTAAAAAAAAAAAACAAAACAATCCCTTACTTATCCTATCTACAACGTACACAACTGTGGTCCCACTACCAATACCGACAGTTTGGCCGTCCTAATGTAAGAGTGATGTTAATAATTCCTAAAAAACCTTTAACCAATCGTCCACAGCTTTATAGGCCGCATTCTTCTTTCCAATGTCGACACTTGCCATAACGAATCCCGGCTTTCCACTTAAATTCACAAACTGACGGGAGGCACCTGCAAAACCAAGCGAACGAAGAGATAGTCTGCACAGCATTATGACGCCATATTTCATTGGACGATATTGTAAAGGACAACTCTAGTGCCGGTTTAGTGATATGCACGACGCATCTGATAATTTTATACGTGAAATTTTTTCATGGCGTTAAAGATAATAAATCACTCGGTAAATACATATTTCAATGCTCACCACTTTAGTAAAAATCATGCATTAACAGGGGTCAATATATAAGAGTTTCTCGTTTTACCTTGTGTACATGAAAAACAAAAGATACTTGGAAATGGGTTCGATACGCTGTGTCAGTGCTAAATTTTTCTCTCCATTTCAGGATGTCTGGAGTAACTCCTAATAGGTCGCAAATTGGATTGCGCAAAAATCAAATACCGCAATTTGTTGGCCAATCATCTCGAATACTGGCAGGCAAAGCACAAAAATGAACAAAGAAGTGTATAAGGAGCCGATACATCTAGACATATAAATAAAAAGCAATCCTATCATTTCATTATAAAAGGGATCTTACGTCGATTTTACTCACCACCTAAGGCCTGACAATACGCGAGATTTTACTTGAAATATAATGTTCATAACTAATTCTAACTTAACAATGCTAGCTTCTGGTTTAGAAGCGATGCAATGCAGTGATTTTTGTAGGATAGGCAATCAACGAAAAAATATATTTGGTGAAATGATAGATATAGGATGACTCAGGCCTCTGAACGAAAATACCTATCCAGGTTACGAATTAACACAACTAGAAAGTAAACAAAAGGGATGACAAAATGCTCCATTTAAAATTGGACTTTAAGTAAAATGCGGTTAAAATAATAAGTACATGTACTCTATATTTCTAACTGTTAACTGCGTAGTACTACCCGTTAATGCAATCAGTAAATTGCATAATCAAAATAATTTGGCTTTTCCTCTGTTATAAAGCAATAGTATAATGCTAGATTTTCGTGAATACTGTATTGCTGTTGATAAAAGTAGTGTTTAACTAACATAGTAATATAGATAGAAAGTCTTCACAAAATATTGCTGCACTGCTATTTTACTCATAACACCACCTTAAGCAATCGACTGTTTAATTAATTCTCCTCCGTATTAACAAGAATTCATTCATTACTACTCAACACCTTTAACAATAACCATGTTTGTCTATTTCAAAACATTGCGTATAAGCCATGGCTTGTATCAGAAAAAAATTTATTAGTGGTTTTCCTGGGCAAGAGGAAACTAATGCATATATGTATATCTCAACTATTAACAGTAACACGTTTAAGCAAATTTGAAATTTATAATATACCCTTGATATGTCAACTTATCAAGAAAATCGGAATTTGAATAACTCCGCAAATTGTTATAATCAATAGAAAAAACGAGAGGAAGGAGTATTCACGAAATAACTAAGTTACCCAAAAATTATAATGATGTTCAATTCAAAATAATTCGGAAAAAATAGTGCAGGCAATAAAACATTGACCCCTAAAAAGTGTATCTGTTAAGTCACAATACCCGGTTTGCATTAAAGTACCTGGAAACAAGCAATTCATGACGGAGGCATGTTAGAAAAACCATTAAGGGGAATCTCGATCATTCGTTCTTGCGGCTACCTTAATGATACTAACTGTAAACTATCAACTTAATTAGGATTTAAATGCGTGAGTTGCTGTCAGTTGGTCCACCTGAGATAGCACACCATCAGGCTTAACTACCAGTCATAAAACATACGACAAGCATTATGAAAAAGATACAAATGGAGAGAGGCGAAAGTTCAGAAAGAATATTTGAGAGGGAAACGAAATTAAAAACTTACTGCATTCATTTTGCGAAAATGTATTGACTTAATAGGTTGTGTAAGTTACAACTAGTTTTTTCTTCAGTTTCCGCGATTTAGGAAGCTTGATGATTTGATGTATCAACTGAATTATACATTACATATGTCTCCGGCCAAATACCTCAAAGGCCCTAAATGCATGCATTTCGCTTATATATTTTTGCATTGCAGGAAAATCATTTATCTGTGACTCTGAACCGTAATCACCAAAGTGACCATAATGATTCAGGGGAAAAAGAAAATAAACGTCTATTAAATTTGTCACATACTAGAACGGATGTCGAAGTTTAAAGGTGGTGTAATAAGCTTTACTAAAAAGGCTGGAGCCTGTTGTAAAGAGGAGCAGTTCACAAGGACCGATTAAAAAGATATTTGATTTTGTTTTAACTTGCAATACAGAAGGAGGTAATACAAAGACACGAAATTATGCTGGATTATCGGTCGCAAGAAGATGATGTCGACGACAAATCGTTATGCATATCTCCGTCAAGGATGCGTACAATGATGAAAAGCTCACCGGATGTTGACTGCGTCAGCACTGAATCAGTTATTTGTTTAATTAAAGCAACGGTATGCCTCATTTATTCTAAATTCTGCAAACACAGGACTTATTTATTAGAGAATTGGTTTTACTATCAAAAGCTGAGAACACTAACGAAATTACATATCATCAGCTTTCGCGACTTCAGACGAGCTTCTCTCGATACTCATTCCTGTCTGACATACTACCTCGCAAAATTACTGCCAAGGAGTGGAATGACAAATACAAGAAACTGTTCCTGTCTTCCTAGTTTGCAAAATGCATTTTTATCATATCCCTAAGGCTTATGCACTTAGATGCAGAAATTCCAAGTCTAAGATCAGAAACTACTGTTCCCTATCCTTCGCGAGCGGGATGTATGATCAGAAAGCACGACATTAGCGGAACAATTCTAAATGCCGTTATCAAAAACAAGATGGACCATTTGAAGACTCAATTCCAGGTTTTAAGAAACCACAGGAATAGCAACGTTGTGGTCGTTAAAAATTTTATTAGTTAGTCGAGAAGGCCCAGTTAAGAATGTGAGCAACAACCAAGACGTTTATACTGTTACCAAGCAAACGCTTGCGCTGCTTTTCTGTCACTTCTTCTGGGAATTCTAGGGAAAGATAGAAGTAGGGGTGAAAAATTCATTATTTACCGAAATCAGCCGGAAAGCACATGAGGTTCGCAATCTCCTTTGAGTGGAACGCCCGAAGAGTAGGGGGAAATGTGGCGTCCGTGTCTGCGGGAGGTACCTAAAAGACGGTTATAAATGTCAGGTCTTCGGCACAAACAGAACCGCTCATGGACAGAGTCTTATGGGATTTGGCTGGGTAAGGCCGTGCAAACCACTCTTACCCTAGTAAGAGTGAGAAAAGACCCGGTCCCTTCAAATCTTTGTCCATATCCCTTTGTGAAGCACGCACTTTTGTGGCTTTCAGGAGAAACAATGTCGAGGATACGGTAGAATCTCTCCTTGTCGGATTTACTTAGAAACAGATATTCCTGAATGCAGTAGTGATGTAAAATCAAACACCATACTGGAACGTCCGTTTTAGGAAGCAAGAACTCCTGAATTGGCCGACAAAGAGGTACATAGGCCGCATAGTGGTCCTCGATTGATGTAATATTCCTAGGGGCACAAAAAAGTATGGGGGTAGCTACTAGGCCTAGTTATAGGTCATAAGAGTCGTCATAGTCGCTCAAAGCCCTATGTTGACATAATTATGATTATTAAGCAAGGATTACAAAGTTGTTGTTACAGTCAGTAAAAGGACGTTACGCTGGAAGCATGTTGATGGCGATACTTCTTATTTCATGACCAACGTACCGTGCTTTTTCTGTACATACGATACATTGACAATTAGGCAGGAGAGGAACATCAAAGATGGGAAAACGTAGAATGTTGGAATCTGCTTCTGTGGACGCATCCGTTGAATTAATTGGAGTTTGGCCGAATGAGAACATAGACCGTTGAGGCTCAGTGCGCAACTTTGCAACCAGGTAGTAACGTAAACGACAATTCGGAACCCCGAATTGAAGTGGCGTCAGCAGAAATTGCTAAGCCATATGTTAAAATATGTTTGATGACAATGTTAGAACTAGAATCGAAAATTGCACAATATTTACCCTAATATCATAATCACAACAGACAAGTGTTTCAATGAGCGAACGCCAGGCATCTGAACCTTCGAATCCCTTAACATTTTCTAGTAGAATGGCTGGTGGTTTGATGCTAAATCAATTTAATGTAAAAAGGATGCATACCGACGTATTAAGTCAATAATAGTACGAAGCGACGAGCTTCTCGTGTCCATTCCTTGCTTTTGTTTGCCCATGCGTGTAAAAGGCTGACAAGGGGGACTTAATGTCCATAAATCAGCCTCAAATAGCAGACATTCGTTTATGGATAAACTCTGAACAAATAAAATGACATCAGTCGTACATCGATTGATTTGTTGGAGGCAAGTGAACAGTTGAACGCTTTATTATATACACGATTGGCTAGGTCGTTTATATCAAGGGCTCTAACTATTTCAAACGCCAAACCAGAACCTTATAATCTATATAAATATAGCCATTTACGACTGAGAGCAGCATGCATTCCACCAATTCCCGAATAAAGTTCTAGCACCCGCATGAACACCAAACTTTCTGCCCGCAGCAAAAGGCCAATGAGAGCGCTCATTGATGCTACCAATCACAAAAGAGTTGAGTGAGCCAATAAGAGAATTGGAACAAGATTCAAGCAAGAAAGGTGTGAGGTTGAGTTGAATTTAATCAAAATAGTGACAATATATGCACAATTTTGAAATAATGTTCATTCCCTCTAAACATTTAAAAGCGTGTTAATTCTTAAAACCTAGTATTGGAGTAATGAATAATTAAATAAAACATTAGCGTCGAACGTAACAGACAAATCATATTATATATTGCTTTGGCTTTATACTAATTTTACATAACCTAAACTCTCAAGATAAAGCAAAAGTAAAGGTATTGACATACAAGTCTTAAATTTAAGAAAGGCATTACCAATTTCATTAGGTCCAGTTAAAATATATCTAGCATCTATTTCTTTTGAACTCTTGAGTCCCTTTCGTCCACGTTGTCACCACAGAACCACCAATTTAGCGATTTTTCTATGTGAAATGAATCAATGCTAATTATCGTTTCATACGTTACTGTCTTGCAATTATGTTGACAGCAGATTCTGAACATATTTATTTAAAGGCTACTCATGAACTATCCGAAATTATTTACTTTGTCAAAATAACTCAAACGGATACCGGTCATTATGATAAAAATACCCAGCAGAAACTAAGGAAGTTTCAGTTAATGCACAAAATAAAAAGGTTAATTGCATAAATCTGCGACAATTTGGTATTAACACAAGATCCGATTTGGCAATTTCCATTGGCTGGGTTGTACTTTAGTCGGGTTGGGCGGTTAGTTTAAAATTTCTCCACAATTATCTGCATATAACCCTATTAGAGGGTGATTACCAGGTAGAATGGTTTCAAGGCCTGATAAATTGGCTGAACTTTGGAAGACCCTTAAACCGCTTTTTGACAAGATGCTAAATATGGAGGATCTAAGTAAAGCCGAGCACGCATCTATATGCAATTGCGTTTATGGCTACTGTACCAGTGTTGATACAACGTACAATACTGGAGCAAGTAGTAAAGTAATCGGGTTTGATTTGTACAAGAAACTACGCAGCTTTTTCAAGCAGCACGTTCAATCGTTGAGAGCGGTAAAGTTATTGTGTTGTACGAAACACCATTTTAGAAAGGTGAGACCAAGACCGGTTCGGATTTACTCACCTTTTTCGAAAAAAACTGGACGAACTTTGTCGTTGCTGCGAAATATATAGATCACCGGTGCAACTACCTTAATCGCAACTGGGTGAAAACGAAAATTGATGAAGGTCAAAAAGATGTTGTCATCGTTTACTCCGTATGTTTTCGACTTATTACGGTTTTCCGATTAAACAAGAACACATCGACTAAACCTGATTTCTAGCAATCATTATTAATAAAAGCTGGAGTAGTCTAGCCTCAGTTTCTTGTTGCGAAGAAGGTGTAAAGTGTCTTGGCTCTTGCTGTGATTATTGTCGTCATAAATCTTATCACACATCCATTTTTATTTATATCTAGACGGTTCTCGAATCTAAAATTGAGCAGTGTTTTTTGTATCACTCGAGGACCATTTTAGTTCTAGTACTTATATGCTTGAACCGGTTTGAGGTCCTTCGATTCACATTGTCTTATGTCTTTTTTTCCTCCTTAGTTGGCCCTAATGATTTGGAAAGATGAACTTTTTAAACCTTGCAGTCATGCTCTGATGGCAGCTGTTCTTAATGAAATAGAGCGTGAACGTAAAGGCGAGAGTATTGCAGCAACACGTTTGTGTACAATCATCAGCAGCCTCGTTGACCTTTGCATTACCTCCGAGCACCACACACAACCCTCTTCTGTTTCTCAGTTACCACATCCCACCCTTCAAGCGACCCAGGTAGCTTCTCTTCTTTGTGCTGAAACCTCATTTGATAACTAATGATTATTAAAGTCAGTTCAAGGCCGATTCGACTTTCGTTCGAATCTTCCTGAGTCGACTTGAGGTCCTCTTGCCTCTAACCACGTTGTGTGATCAGTGCATAGATGTCAGGTCGAAGTGCCATCTTGCCCGTTTACAGTAGGTGAATTTATGCTGATTGTAATAGGTTTTCATGCCCTCTAATATTTCAAAACTATCTCTTAAACTTGCATACTTCAGTGGACTCTGTTTAGTATTGTAGTCGGTCGTAGTAAAAGAGATCAGTGGTTAAATAACTGAAGCCATCGCGGTCTTTTCGTGGTTCAGATTTAGTTCAAGGGAGTGTTTCACCAAAAATCAATCCTTGTATCAAGCCTTCCATTTTCATTCGGTGTGCAAGCCCTTTTACACCCGAGGAATTTCGGCATTTTTTTTATTTAAATTTGAATTTTTGACTTTGGTACATCCATTGCTACCCCAACATCTGGTAGTCTACACCTTTGTCGGAAAGGCATTAAGTTAATTATTCTCATAAATGCTTGCAAATCTGTTGAAGTAGCATAGTGAACTGAAATGACACTGGGTTGTCGTATTTTTCCACGTCAGATTTATAATTTACTGGTAAACATGTGCGATTAATAAAGATATGGCTCCGTAACGTTTCTGTGAGGTCTTCATCTACGCGTGAGGTTCTTGTGTGTCGAATCTAATGTACAGGGTTCGATCAATTTTGCACTAACTTCGACCATTTTCTGTGTTAGACTCACTCAGTGCGCCAGTTCCTCGCACCTCCGGTGCCGACTCACATTTCTTGCGATCCACCTCCTGCGGCAGACTGGAGACAAGGCCTTCCCATCTACCGAGATTACTTTGAGCAGCCATTCCTTCGGGAAACCATGCACTTTTATGAGCTCGAGAGTAACGAATTTTTAAAATCCAACTCCGTTACTGAATACTTAAAGCGCGTAAGTGCGTTGTGTGCTGTTTTTAACTGTCGCTTTTGCAGTTCTACAATGCTATCTTTCTTAGCCGAGGTAGATGTACTCACTAAAGGTCATCAAGGGCTGGTAGTTTATTTCTATTCCAACTTTCGAGAAAAGCATTGTCTAGATGTCTGCCTTTTTCAGACTTATTATTTCTGTTCAACTTAAAAAGTACGGCTTAATGAAGGACAGCGTAATCTGGGTGTCCTGCGATGAGTCGGTCTTCATAATACTCTTTTATTTTCTCCAGGTTGAAATGCGTTTGGAAGAGGAACGGACGAGAGCTCGTACGTACCTTCACGCAAGCACACTGAACGAGTTGATAAAGACATGCGAAGAGAGCCTTATTGGCAACCACATTGAGGCGCTCGCTTCGGAGTTTCAGACCCTCCTTGCAGAGACCAGAATCGAAGGTAGTGGTGTTTCCGTTGCGCAGTCTAGTAGACGGACTCAGCTAAACGGTCTTCTTTTTTAAAAAACTCTGCAGACTTGGCCCGGATGTACAAGGCCTTGATTCGCTTTGAGGATGGCGAAGCACGCCTAGTTCAAATGATGGAACTTCACGTCGACGAAGTCGGTTCTGAGGCCCTGAAGGAAGTCTGCCAAAGTGCCATAGCGGTGGGTGTTTTTCTCTTCTTAATGAAAGAGATTTTTTTTCTTTGCACGGTTAAAAGCTATCGTCGGATTTCGGTTTCGCATTTAAGAATCCCAGACTGTTCGTGGATACCATTGTTGGTGTACAGCGGAAGAACAAGGAGCTCCTGCAGTCTGCCTTCTCCATGAATGCTTCCTTCGCGCGAGCTCTTGACAAGGGCTGTGAACGCTTCATCAACCGAAACGCCATCACCGAAATCGCCGGCAGTTCTCGCAAAACGCCCGAACTCTTGGCCAAATATGCGGACCTCCTACTGAAAAAGGGGTTAGCGAGTCCGGTTTCTTTTGATACGATTCCTTTTATCCTTAAAGCACTACATACTTGGCATGAGTTTATCACCTTACGTGCCGTTCCAGCCTCAAAGTGACGGCTGTTTGGTGTTGAGACCTGTTTCCTCCCCTCGGTAACCATTGCTCCCCCGTTACGGTTTCTGCTGAAACAGTGCAGACCAGGGTTCATGTATCTCAACAAAGCATAGAGACAGGTTCTGTGGGGATCTAGTGATTAGCCCCGAGTCTTTGTATCGACAAAGATCTGCGGAAAATTTGTAAACTTTTGTGGTCACCCTTTGTGAAACATCGGCCACGTCGCCGACCCATCATTTTTTTGCGTGAAAAAAAAAACATTTTGCTGCTAACCTCGAACGATTCCCCGTGCTAAACTGCGCCGGTGTAATTTCCCTCTTCCCGTATTCACCCAATTTCGAGGCGGGGCACTTACAACCAAAAAATTGCAGCCGTTGTTTCCGGGACTAGGCGTCAAGACGCATTGCTAATGCCACACCCGACCAATGGCACAAAAGCACAACTTTGCCGTGCCTAGGTGCGTCCGATTCGAGCGCATTTTCTCCCAAACTGCACATTATTATCACACAGAGAACTTACGCCGCCTGCGCCTCTTCATGCATTCGTGCTGCTTACAAGCGTAGTTTTAACACAAAATTTTCTTTTTAGCACCAAAGAAGCCCAACCCGATGATCTCGAGGAAACCCTAAACTGTGTGGTATGTTTGACCCTTATTGATCGTCAGCTCGGGAAACCGCAGCTAAAGTTCTGTCATACCCGCCTACGTTGCCTTCAGTGTGCTTCTTTTCTCCATATGCACGCCCTTAGTGGCGGATATGTATAGGTGGACAGATGTAATTTGTTTTTCACGTGCCTGTTAATCTCTCGTGTTGTACTTTTCCCCAATTACATAAACAATTGTTTTTTTTTATTGAAAAACCGCGCAACGTTTGAAAGTTCGTCGTCCTAAGTCTCTGACGTAAAATACGCGTCATTCCGATGGAGAAATCACACCAATTTGTGTTGTTGTTGTTGACAGTATCGTCATCAGCTGCCTAAGCACTTGCACTTTCTGTTTGCCGTGCAGATGGAGGTTTTCAAGTACGTTGAAGATAAGGACGTCTTTCAGAAGTTCTACTCCAATATGCTTGCTCGCCGCCTCGTGAATAACATGTCCATCTCGGAAGATTCAGAGGCCCAAATGATTTCCCTCCTAAAAGGCGCATGCGGCATTGAGTACACGTCAAAGCTGCAGCGCATGTTCCAGGACGTGAGCTCGAGTCGTGAACTCAACGCCCGATTCAACGAGTGGGCCAGCGAACGGCCCGACTCGCCGACTCTCCTGCGAGGCGGTGAGTTTAGCACTGCGATATTTGACTCTACGTGACCGGCGCAGCCACGATTTCGCCTCACCTTGAATATCTGAGCGCGCATTCCTTAATCATGTGATTTCTGTGACCTTTTGTGTGTCGCCGTTAGCGAGCAAGAATAGCTTGCTAACTTTGTTTACACAAAACCACGTCTTTAAAACACTCCCTTCGCTTTGGTGCAACTTTTGCTTTGGAGAACCCGTGGTTAGCTTGACGCCAGAATTGGAGACTTGGCCGAAACGCCTACCAGTTCAAATCAAATCTGAGTCAAAGATGCAAATCCACCGTCTTCAGCGTATCGCCGAACACCCTAGCCGCCAATCAGGGCTTATTCGCGTATTTCGACAAAACAAGTCGGATTGTGATAGTTCCGGCAAAGACATATTCGCTTAGCTCGTCACAGCCTCAGTTTCTTTGCGCCTTCCTCATTTCGAACATTCATGGTTGTGTTCCACGACTGACTTGATCGCAAATTATCGCGTGTTGTGATGACTTCTTAACGTTAAATCACCGGTGTCAAGGTGAACGTTAGTTCCCAGTTAGTAAATCGGTGGTGCCCAAAGACGCAGCAAATACTTATCCCTTTTGGCATGCTTTAGCGGAGAAATGTGCACATTTCAGGAAACACAATGCCGAGTTAGCAAAACACAAGGTCAAAACAACATGCAGCATAGTCCTGGTACAGGTGGGTGGTCTAATCTGGCTTCGTTTTCGTCTGTTTTAGTTGACTTCAGCATTATGGTGCTAAGTTCAAACGCGTGGCCATTCCAAGGACAAGGTGGCTTCTCCGTCCCTCCGGAGGTCAGTTTGTGTCCGATTGGGCCCACTGCGTGCCTTTTGCCACACCTTCACCACTGTGTTCTCTCTCCCTCTCTGCAGCTGGAAAATTGCTTCAAAGTCTTCACCGAGTTCTACCAGACCCATCACGAAGGCCGCAAGTTGACCTGGTGCTACCAGCTCTGCCGTGGTGACGTCGTCACGCACTACACGAAGATGCGCTACACCTTCCAGGTTGGTTGTTAACTTGTCCCTTCGCAAGACCTGGTTCTTAGTTTACTGGGTTTGAGGTTTGGATGGTTTTGCGGAAACATTCGCACCTCCACGTTGTGTTTTTCCTGTCTACCCCTGACAACGAAATTAACTCATGGTCGATTAGATGACTAGAATTCTTGTGAGGCTTCTGTTCGTCGGATGTAATCTCCCTAAGATTTCCGCAAATGTGCCATTTACTGTGCGAACGTACGAACATCTAGAAGTACGTGCGTGCGTGTTGATAGGGCAATTTGTGCAATGTGTTCGCGGGAAAAGGTACTTGTAAATAATATTGGCTTAAACACTAACAGACGTACTTGGCAGAATCGAAAATCACCAAAGACAATCTGGAACGTGGAACGTTTTAAGCACGTTGCCTGCTAGTGGATAATTTAAATGGTGTTTCAATTAAACCAGTATAGTAAAACAGTGGAAGATTCAAGATTGACTGGTAATGTTGCGGTAGTAACGTTGTAAATCAAACAATAGGGTTGGCAAATAGCTGATGCACATTATGTCTTCTCGTTGATATGTCGAGTAGTGGATTTGAGTGTTTTAGTGTAGGATATTGAAATCAGTAAGTAGTAACGATCGCGCGAATATTTTTTAACCCAGAGCAATCACCTTTGGCAGAATCTTAGCTGCTCAAACGGAGCCGCTAACAAACCACCTCTGCGTCAATTCAAAGCCTTCCACCGAGATTAGTTTGTCAAAACCAGCCTTTTCAAGTTCCATAGCGTAAACAACAAATTGCACATTTTTCCAAAGTGGTTGTGTGGCGCGTAGATTTAAGGGAACAGCTTTCAGTTGAACAATATAGTCGGCTTCATGCACATTCAGGGCCTGATGTTTCCGACCACAACAGACACTATTTTGCACATTCGCGACTTCCTGATTCGCGACGCACAATCCAGTGTTAGTTACTCCTGATGCATTTTAACTCACGCAAGCAAGCGTTAACCCGACGTCCTCGAAAACTGGCTTTTGCCATGTGAAGGGCTGATCCTGAAGGTGTCACGAAGCCTTACTTAACGGTCACGCAGAGCACCGAATTCGTTTTTACGATCCAAAATGGCTTCATTGAAACCTCCCAACGGTGAATGATCGTCTTAACGGACTAAGGTTTTTGCCCTGTTTATTGTCCCATTGAGAATATCAATGCACTTAAGCAATATTACGCTTTATCAGCAACCAGCCGACCACCAAAGTTGATGACAAGATACCCATAACGTGTAGACCGGCATCGGGACAAACGCCTCAATGGAGGACGCTGGGCGGGAGGCCATTGGCAACAGTCGTAGCCGTTCGTCAAAGCGTTCTCTAGTGACAAAAACCAAGCAGCACCCCAGTCGACGTTGATCCCAGTTCATTTCTGGCTGCTTACAAATCATTATTGCTGATTTATTCCACAAATCCATTTTGGACACCCTGGTTTTGGCCGAAAATTTCCTATTGCCCGGGGCTCTGCCCATGTTTCACGAATGAACCAACAATGCCGACCTCGTGTAGCACTGATAATGATTCTAGCAAGCCCCTATGAACCCAGTGAACCTCCATCCTTCACATAGCACCATCCACAGAACCATCAACAGGACTGCGATGTGGGTACTGGCCAGCATCATTTCACAACAGACGGTGGCTGCTCAAATTAGTCGTCAAACAACTACCTGAACGAAGCAAGCTACCCTGCTCTTCCAAAAACCACAGTCTGCAACAAGAATATGCGATTCGTCGCGCACAAATTCCATAATTTCCGTAGTCAACAGGTGGTCATGTGCGCTTATTCACCATCCCACCTTCTACATTCGTTCAGAACTCCGAATCGGTCATCCCAGCACATTCTGTGCAATTTTTTTTCGTTAACCAACTGCACAACGCCATGAGGTAATTTCACGATGACATTTTTTTGTGGAAGAATCGTTGGTCGGTACGGGTGGCCACTCGTCAGCATGAAACTGGCAAAACATCGAAAGAAATCGGCCTACGACATATTCGACGTAGAATAATCGTAGATCGCACTTTCCAAATGCTCTCGACGACCGCGGACAGGCATTTCAAACGACGTAGGCACACTAGGCGCTTATGCGTGCGGTATTCGGAGTTTAAGCTAATATAGAGAAATACCCACTTATCCGTTATTATTAATGCACGGACGCGTTAGCGCGTAGTGCGCGAACAGCTGGAAAACTTCGCCGACAACTGTCCTGATTCTGAAAGCCTCACAAAGCCGCACTTAACGGCGGCCACACAAATCGACAATGTCGTTTAATGCCAGAAATTACTTGCTTGTCTCACAGGGACCATTCTGACACGAAACTGCGTCTTGTCGGGGATTCGATTGTTCGGTCAAAACGTGATCTCGTGTGCGATCTAATGGCGTGGGTAACTGGCCCAGAAGCGTTTCAGACATTTCGTGTTGGTGCTTTGGCGACGACATCTCGGACGAAACAGTCACGCAGATTTAAGGTCTAACACCAGTCGCGACACATTCCAACCACGCACGCCTCAATTCGACACAGGACGTAACAGAGGTAGCGAAGAAGTTGGTTAAATTCACATCCAAATGCAAATTTCGCCAAGTGTTTGAATGTGGTCGACTGTGTAAATGGCGCAGCTGCCGAGTGTGGAAGCGCTAATTGGTGATAGCATTCAGACACACGAAGGGCAGCTTTTCGGGAATTCTTATTGATAATTACCGGCAATTGCTTTAGTTTTCCTGGTGAGCCGGGCCCATTTAACCATTGAAATGGACTTGGATTAAAATTTCTAGAGAAGACGAGTTGTGATTTATGGGAGATGTTGTAGCAGCTGGGTAGCTGCGCTGCCTTTCCTGTCTTTATCCCTCCCATAAGGAATATTCTAGGGTCGTCTTAGTTAAGAGATGGTCAAGCCTGGTGCTGCCTCTTGTCTTTCCCCACAAAAAGAACATTCGATCATTTCGAAGGTTTGTCGTAATCCCGGGAAACGCTTGATCGGTACTTGAAGTATGTCTGGTGATTGCTTCTAAACGCTTCTAAAACAACTGCAGAATAATTCATGTTAGTCTGTCTCAGAGGACCTTCTAAGCATCCATAATTGAATGCCCTTTCAGCAATGCGACATCGGTGCGTTACTGCCTAACCGCGAACCTGCAGTCGGTGCTAAAGCTAAATGCGCTGAACTAAATCATTAATGAAGCAGTACTGTATTGTATCACTCACAAGCAGGTAGAACAGATGACAAAGATGGCGAGGTAGTAGTGAACTCTGTCGCCGCGAGGAGAGAAACCCCATCGACGGTAGGGCGTTTTGTCAGAAAAGTGTTTCGTCTTTGTGCGATGCGCCTGCGTAATCCCGGACGCGCGTGTTATTTCCCTGTCGAGGTCGTGACTACGCGGTGGAATCTGGCAAAAACGACCACGCGCTTGCCTACTTCAAGGCCATCTGTAAATAACACGTAGCTATTTGGTGCTTGCACAAGCTGGTTTTCGACTGGGGTGCTGTAGGAGCCCTCGGCTGTGGTTGCTCAAAACTGTAAATTATCGACATAATCAGTGCTTCTCCGGATTATTGGCAAATTGTGCTTTTTTGACGGCACTTTATTCGTTAACGCGTGTTATTGTGTGACGAAATATTCTCTTTCCACAAGTAGCTTGCCATGCTTTTTCGAAGTAGGCACTTCAGACACAGGAGATTTCGAAAATAAAACCAGTAATTTTGTGATTTCTGATCTGATTTGAAGTTGGGGATTTTTTTCTCCAATAAATCTGCCAATCAGACAGATTTGTGCCTCCTGTAACTATTTTATGTTAAAACCCTGTTCGTCAGACCATTTTTACAATACCACGATTCCGGATTTCTGAGGCGGTCGGTCAAGACGTTTTTGTCTGTTTCGATATTGCACCAGTTCCCGTAATTATAAATTTCTGTCATCTGGCTTGTAAGTAGTCGCTTCGATTGAGTGGTAATCCTTCATTGGCTGTTTTCCAAGTTTTACTCGTGTGGGTGATCACATCGCTGACAAACCATTCGTAATGACGACTTGTCTTTCTGCCTGTGCATATTTCAAAGTATCACCTTTAGGCACGCATTCAGTGGCCTGAAACTAGTGGATACTTTGTCCGCCATGCAGTGTCCAAAGGCTACGAGGTTGTGCTAGTGGGATTCCATCACCAAGTGTCCGCAGTCACCGTCTGACCAGTTTCCTGGGGGTCCTAATATAGTAAGCCTTCATGTCCCCGGCCAAATACGCAGGAGAGCGTTCCTTTTAGTTAATGTCCTATTTCGGCGTCGATTTACTGGCTTGCACGGGATCTACCACCACTTTTTGCGTTTGGGATTCTCGTGACATCACCAATCGTCACAATTTTCCACAAACACGTGGGGGATCCGAATTCCAAGTTATTGAATTTTCCCCATTTGGTGCAAACGCTTGGAAATAGGTGTTTCGATGACTCCTAGCTGAGCTGCTGCAAGCTCTTGTTGTGTTTACGTTGAGTCTTTATTCAGTAGAGCTTGCAACTGCTCATCTTCAAACCGGTGCGCGGCTGGCCACTAAGATCGAAATCGCCGTTTCTGATAAAGCGCTTGTTGCAATAATTACACGTTTCATAGGACACAACGTCAGCATCAGGAACACTATAAATTACTTTCCGTACTTCAGAAGCACTTGCTCCCTGGTGTTGGAATTCGTAGAAAATGCTGTGCCGTCGGTTGTAGTGTTTATCAGTTGCCGTCGTAAACTCTGCTACTGTGAGAGATTACGTAACTCACGTAAACTTGTTCGATGTTCTGCAACCTTGCGTCCAGTCCTTTTAAAATCAGGAAAGACCGTGGAAATATTTCACTTTAAAATGTAATTTTAAGCTCGAAGAAACAATTGTAGAACTTGTTGTGAATCGTGCTTGTTCACACCCCTTAACCCGGTCGCTCCACCTTCGACACAGGGTTCCTCTTTTCGCAGCATGTCGCCAGCCACGCGGATCCTCAACTCTCCCCTCATTAACGCGAACGGTTATCCTACATTATCTTCACACCTAGGTGTCGATGTTAGCGCATGTATGACTCACACATCCGAGGTATAAATACACATGCGCAAATCCCACACAACGACACCAACGTGGTCGGGATCTGAAGTAAACGGTTGTGTCCACGTCCTCTCCGGTCTTTTTCTTCATCGCGGACATCAGGGAAAACGTAATTGGGCTAGGGTTAATTCCGTGGCCCTGGCGAGGTTCAAGACCACATGCCGGGGCCCACACTAAACTCAAGTCACACAATTAATATGATTTGTGCATCTATCCTTTGCTCCTCAGGTGTCCACGCACCAAATGGCCATCCTCATGCTCTACAACACCTCCCTCGTGTACACAGTGAGTCAAATCCAATCCCAAACGGGCATCGACATGAACACCCTCACCCAACTCCTCAACATCTTCCTGAAAGGCCGCGTTCTCAAGGTTGCGGTCGACGAGACGAAGAAGTCGTCCGAGGGGGAGGGGCAGAGGCACACCGACGGGGCCGGTGCCAGCCAGACAGACGCGCTTTCCTCCACCCAAACCCCCCAACTCGCCCCCGATACCCTGCTCCGGCTCTACACAGATTACAACAAGTGAGTCAGTCATTTTATGAGCTTCACGGCGACGAAAATGCTGCTCGGTAGTTCGTCTGGCCTTCTTCTACACACCACATTTTTACCAATATTCACTCGGAACTGTCTTTCTTCCTTGATTCCGTGTGTCCAAAATGCCTATAGCCTGAAAATCGGTTAAGATTCAACCCCACGATCTGAATTGGTGAATCGTACCTCCGCTAAGATATTTACTTCAAGCGTCTAGCTAGGTATTTGGGGTCACACAAAGTGCTGATCGCCGCCGCACACAGTTGTTGCCGTTTTTTGCACTTCTGGCGACGCAACGTGTAGCTGCGTTGCAGACAGCCCTCTTAATCTACACTACGTCATTGTGCTAGCCCTGGGCCACTTCATTTCAGCTATGCCGTTGCCCTAAGCCAGGTTTACAGTTGGCTGCGGTTGGCAGACGCAAAACTTACACTTCTTTCCCTTGCATCCTTCACACAGTAAACGCATTCGCGTGAACCTCAACTTGCCAGTGAAGAGTGAAGCTAAACAGGAGGCGGAGACTACGCTGAATACCGTCGAGTGCGACCGGAAACTCAGCATTCAGGTAACGCTGGCTATAAAATTTCCCTGTCCATTTTTTTACAGCCAACAGTAGCTGTATTTCTTTTTTGAAAAGTGTCGATATTGGTGGTAAAAAACTGCGAAAGCCGAAACCAGTAGAGCGATTGACCCAGTTGGCGAGTGTAGCACGTAGACAAGGGTTTTCTCCCATCCGATTTGTTGCTCCCTACTTGTCGATGCAGTCAACAATGGACATGACAGCTCAAACACGTTCATCCAATCAAAGCTGCCTTCGTCCAGTGGTACTATTTGCAAAACCGCTTTTCCGATAGTGTTATCAGTAACGTGACCCAAGTGTGGTTCTGGAACATTGATATCTTAGTAGACGCTCCGTTTCGTTTTTTACTAGGCTTGTATAGTGCGAATCATGAAGATGCGAAAGAGGATGGAGCATCAGCAGCTGATAAAGGAGGTTATCGAACAGATGTCTTCACGATTCTGTCCCGCCATCCAGCAAATCAAGGTAATTCCGCGCGGTTTAGTTTGCATTTCTCTGCTCATGCCCGACCTCCTGTCAATAACTGGTGGCGCCCCCTTTTCAGCTTTGCATCAATTCTCTGATCGAGCGAGAATTCATCAAACGGGATTCAACCAATCTCTCCGCCTACGAATACGTGGCCTGATTGGCAGACGTCCGCGGCCGCTCCCACCCGTGCCACCCCTCAGGGTGCTCTTCGCCAGGAGACCTCCAACCCAACTGCCACCGTCTCTCATCTGCTTACTCTTCTCCCTCCCCCCCTCCCTCCCCCCGCCCCTAATACCTTCTCACTTTTTTCAGCTCATGTTAGTTTTGTTTTTAGTCGGGAGGTTTGTGCGTTCATTTCCTCCTTCTTCTTCTTCCCCTTTATAAAGAAGAAAAGTCTGAAGGAAGGTGGCAAGATGCCTTGTCTCATTATCGCAATTCGACTGAGACGGGGCTGCACGCAGTGTACAAGTTTTTTCCTGCTTTTGTGTGTGTGTGCGAGTGTTATCACCAATTAGCGTTCCGGACGCCACAGCCCGCCACGTTTTAACACTCGGCAGCTGCGCCACTTGCACAGTCGATCACCTTCAAGCACTTTTGGTGAAATTTATATATGCAGATGAAAATACAGTATCTTCGCTACATGCGTTACCTCTTGTGTCAAACCGAGGTTTACATTTCCGCAAGCGGTGTTAGGCCTCACATCTGGTCTCCGATTTCGCCCGGATTGTCGTTGTCTAAGAGCCCAATCGGACTGTCCGAAACACTATTCGGTCTGTTACCTACGATGGGTTAACGTAAAAGGCGTTCGGATCGCCTGCCGTCTCATTTTCTGACCGAACACGAGAGGAAGTTGCTTCATGTCGGGAAAGAATCTGGGAGGCAGCTTGGGATGACTGCGATCCGTAGACACGTAATTTCTAGTATTGAAAGAAGTGAGGCTCTTTTGCGCTTTCAAAATCGGCTTTCCACATGACCAACAGTGTCGTCTAGCAGTTCACGCACCTAGGGTTAATGCATCTTTGCATGAGTCAAAATGCATTAGGGGTAACCAATAGTAGATTGTGTGTGTGCATGTGTTGTTGACAATAACGGAGTTACGAAGTGTGTGGAGTGGCGTTCCATGCCGTCCGAAATATCAGGCTCTGGATATACTGTTCAATACGAAGGCCATCTCGTGTCAATTTTCCGCATTTTATATCTTTCAAGGAGGTCAAAATGTACCTCGTTGATGATTTTGATTAGTGTGAAAAGAGGACCATGCTTTTCCAGGAGGGTGCTCCTCTATCTTGGATGAAACTCCGCATACCGCACGCATAAGCGCCTAGTGTGCCTACGTTGTTGGAAATGCTTGTCCGCGGTTGTCGAGAGCATCTGGAAAGTGCGACGTACGATTCTTCTACGTCTAAGATGTCTTCGGCCGATTTCTTTCGATGTTTCGCCAGTTTCATGCTGACGAGTGGCCACCCGTACCGGCCAACGATTCCTCCACAAAAAATGCACTTTACGCCACCGATTGAGACATGGCGAGTTCCGTTGCACGCAATCTGCAGCACCTGAGTCCCTCTGCTTGTAAATGTCATCGTGAAATTGACTCATGGCGTTTTGCTGTTGGCTAGCGAAAAAATTGCACAGAATGTGCTGGGATGACCGATTCGGAGTTCTGAACGAATGTAGAAGGTGGGATGGTGAATAAGCACACATGACCACCTGTTGACTACGGAAATTATGGAATTTGTGCGCGATGTTGCAGACTGTGGTCTCTGGAAGAGCAGGGTAGCTTGCATCGTTCAGGTAGTTGTTTGACGACTAATTTGGCCAGTCACTGTCTGTTGTGAAATGATGCTAGCCAGTACCCACATCGCAGTCCTGTTGATGGTTCTGTGGATGGTGCTATGCGAAGGATGGAGGTTCACTGGGTTCATAGGGGCTTGCTAGAATCGTTATTAGTGCTACACAAGGTCGGCATTGTTGGTTCATTCGAGAAACATGGGCAGAGGTGCGGACAATAGGAAATTTTCGGCCGAAACCAGGGTGTCCAAAATGGATTTGTGGAATAAATCAGCAATAATGATTTGTAAGCAGCCAGAAATGAACTGGGATCAA